ACGGTTGATCCTTATGGAATCCAGCCTGTTGATCTCGAAATTGGACGTCAACTGAATCTTTCATCCGGTTCAGCAACACTCTTCTGAAAACGTTCCCCGTTACCGACGATGGTGTGATGCCTCTGTAGTTCTCACATTTGCTGAGATCCCGTTTCTTTGGTATCTTGATGACATATCTTATTAGTAGCCTGCTATTTTGCTACCAATTCAGTGGCCCTATATCTGACTCCAGTAAAATCATATGATTGCTTTTTATCGAAATAAACAAATCATCAATCTTCGTATATAATTATTGACTTGACTGGTGTTGGCGAATAAAGGAATTAAGTAAGTCGAATAAAAGAGTGGATTTCGAATACGTGTATTTCATACAGTCGTTGATTCAGCCGAACGATCGGAGAAGCGAAATGACGTCCAGTGAAGAAGGCGTGTGAGTAAATTCAACTTCACCAGGCGTTAATCAATATTTGTAGTCAGATAAAAATAAGCTACAGGCATGTGGTGGATTACGAGGAATGAATAAATTTGCCTGTTCGGAAGCTAGAATAATCTATGTGGGCCTAACATAACAACCGACACTACATCCTTCTTTCTAGCCATTCTGTGGCACTTGTTCCTCCTCCTAAATCTTTTTAAACAAATCGTGGAGCATGCTTGCAGCTGCTTCTATGTCTGACTCCAGTGCTTCAGTTGGTATATTGTCAAATCCTACTGTCTTCTCACTCTTGATTTGTCTGATGGCTATCCTGATTACTTCGATCGTCGTTGGACTGAAAGCTATAGGTATGTCTGTGTGTGCTGTTTCTATGTCCCTTGGGCTTAATGGGGCTGTTTTATTTAAGGGTTGCTCAAAGTGTTCTACCCATCTGTTCCTCTCCTTGAATCTCAGTAATTGACTTGTCTTCTTTGTTTTTGACTGATTGCTGTAGCTTACTGTTTTTCCCTACTAGGTTCTTCGTTGTGTCACAAAGTTGTCTCATATTTCCTTCTCTTTCAGCTTTTTCCACTGTCGTTGCTAGGTCTTCCACGTATTTCCGTTTGTTGACTCTAATTTTGCTTTTCACTCGTTTGTTCGCTTCAGTGTATTCAGTTTGTGACTTGACTTTCTCTGTTCTTGATCGACTGTTTTTAATCGCTATCATCTTGTTCTTCTTTTCTTGGGTCTTGTTCAGGATTTCGACAGAGATCCATTCCTTATTGTGATGCTTGTTGAGACCTAGAACCTCTTGACACTTTGAAGTTAGTGTTTCTTTGATCCCTTTCCACTTGCTCTCCATGGTAGTTTCCACTTTTTTGAGTAGATCTCGAAATGCTTGGAACCTGTTGTTTAGAGCTATGTTGAATTGGTCGAGTTTGTGAGTATCTCGAAGGAAGATTGTATTGAACCTTCGTAATGCTGTTTATTCAGTTGGATTAACTGAGAGACCATCACTGCCAGGACTAACTAAGGCCAACAAGCTTCCTGCCCTATCCAAACTGAAATATATGACCACTGCATTCTTTCAGTTGAACGAGCCTTATTAAATGCAATGGAATGCATAAAACCATACCTTTACACTAAGGCAAGTGTTTTAGGGATTATTTGGCCGATACGTACTTGTACAAAAATATTGGATATTAGTTTTATTCTGTACTTTGTGACCTTGTCTTCGGAAAGCCCCGCGGGTCAGTTGTTTCCGCGGTTTGTCAGGTATTTTTGTTTCCTTTGGCTTTTTTTGGAAGAAACAACATAAATTTTTTAGAACCCCCATATATTAAAGCTAACCTTTATATTGCCTATCCTTTACATAAGTTACCTTCATGTGGTCAGTCAAATGATCTGCAAATCTGTCACCATTCTCGTTATTTTCTCCTAGTCAGTCCATGTCGTCCCATGACATCTTCATACTTGGTGTTTTCCATTACCGATTTGGCGTTATATCGTCTGAGCTTCACATAAGTTAACTTTATTAGGTCAGTCAAATGACTGTCAGTGATGAAGTCTGGTTTCAATAACGTAGCTCTGAGAGAATCATTCATTTGCTTTCTGGGCAAACTATCCTTCATATACGTGTTTGATCTAATTTAGAGAGCTTACGGGCTCTATAATTCGCGGAGGACCTGAGACTGTAAGTCAGCACCGAAACACTATTACAATTATCAGCTGGTTTATGTTGTATCATCACAAAGATATATAAAGACAACTTTGCACTGGCTTCTTGTTGTCTCCTAATGGTTTCAGGTCTTCATAGACGTCTAATAAAGGATATTCCCACCACTCAACTCTACTACTTCCTGTTAGTCCGACAGTTCTTTGTGAGTTCAAGTATTTTGAAATCTAAGTGGGCACGTTTGTCTCAGAGCAGTATGGTTTTGGAAACCAGTAGGCATCCAATCACCAGCGAGTTAGCCAGTATACCACGCTCGTTTTCTGTATAAGGGTACCTTGAGTTTAATCATAGTTATCAATCACTTCGTGTTAATTGAAGTTGGATATGGATTATGTTCATCCACCCTCACTGAAGTGCTGCTCACTGTAATATGTACTAATTACACAATTAAGTAATTCTACTAACCCGTTGACCGAGAAAATGTTTTAAATCGGAAGTGCTTGTCGAGGGAACTGCGTAATAGTTCGATACCAACGTAAATGTTTTGTGTAAATTTTGGGTGAGACTAATTTATGGACGACCTTTGAGTGACGCTGAAGTGTCCTTGAGAATGTCCAGCTAATAACTATGACCAAATGAGGGTTATAAACTAGTATGAGGAGTTAGAACTATGAATTACAGTTGGTAGTTAAGGTTAAAAATTATATTCAGGCTTTACATCACGAACTGACATAAGCTAAATGCCATAAACGCTTTTTAACCAAATGGACGAATGAATTTCGCGCCAACATCAAACCCGTTTTCTTATATCTGATCGGTTCGTCCATAAATTATAGTCCCGCAAATTTTGTAAGTCTTATATCCAAACGTGTAAATTCAAGTTGAAATATATTTCGTTTCAGTCTTGTAGCATCAATCTGTTCTCGTAGTCTCCTACATACAGTTCTATTTTCACAGCTACTTCTTTTTGCTTAACTTACTGTTACTAGATCTCTTTAACAAACTTCGTTTTTCATTTCACCTAAATTGTCCCTTCTGAGTATCGATAATTTTTTGTATTCCAAGGTGGGCTGGATATAATCTCTATACCCCTCGTCATCGCATTTATCTTAGGAGGATCTTTCATAAGTTAATGTAGGGATTCTACGGGACAGCTCAGAAAACTTGATCACCGAGGCCGCGTTTTGTAGGTCATTTGGTGTAGGTATCTTCAGAACAATTCGCTAATAACATGATTTCTTTTTATTCTCTACGTAAATCAGTGACCTGACTAAATTGTTAAATGTAGTTACGACGCCCGCCACTGGCACAAAAACTTATGTTGCTAACTGATGGATGCACAAAGCAAAGTCTTTATCTGTTGTCAAGTTGTTGAAGGTTTCCTGACTCTTGCAGTCTTCGCCATATAATTAGGCTCAGTTGATGCAAACGACTGTGTAATACATTTAGACGTACTTGTCAAAATGCTAATAAAGCTGAATGTTCGTAATCAATCGCGGTAATCGACTCCTTCTAAGTTGAACGCATGAATTTGTACTTTTGTCATTCATCGGGATTGTTAATCAAGGGAATAACCGTATTGAATTCATACCATGAATTCCGTGTCTCTGAGTAGACAAAGGTGGGGAGGTCTTGGATCTTCTATTAAAATAGGTTTGGGCATATTCATCCAATAATTCTAGATTGAGTTGTTGGGATCGAAATTCGTTTGTCTACTTGGTCGGCTATTATACAGATGAGGATTTTCGACTTTGTATTCAAACAAGTTAGCTTATCCAATGAATTCTGATCTAGCAAGAGCACTTGATGGTTGTGTTGTAGACAATAAACTATCTACCTCATCCGAATCCCCGTTAAAAGTAGACCTGGTACTGCATCTTTTAAGCCAGATAGTGCTGTAGCTACAATTTGATGTGCCAATTCTGTTCGCGAGGCCGCTCGACCTTTTACCATAGTGATTAGTTCTCTACATTTATTTTATCTTTATGTGGAACATGATTATCTTCTGCTAAATACTTTTTAAAATATCCAGGTTTCATTTGATGGCGTGATCCAAACCTCACCGTACTCTCCAAATGTTTTCGTCATTATTCGTTTTCTCTTTCCTGAATGTATAGTCGTTCACTATCAGAAATTCACCATACTTTTTACTTTTTGTGTATTCTGATCCAATCCGAATCAGGTGTAAACCATATAACTTGGAATATGGTTCACTACATCTATATTTTGCACTATTTTAAATGAATAGATACTTGGATATTTTACGTGCAATCGTGCTTTTAATACAATGATTGTAATCTACTTTGATATTTTTGTATTTTTCGTAGCTTGCAACTGCACTGACTACCTAATTGGACCATTTTAAAACGAACCGCTAGTTATTTTTGATTATAACCCTTTCGACGCATGCTTGTATATAAGTCACCCCTATTGGTGCTCGCTTTTATTGATTTGGGCTTTTGCTGGAGCAGACCATTAACAGCACCCATAACCTCGTTTTATTCGCCGATTAGTCTCATAAGCGACTGGTCGACACTTTTCAGGGGCCAAAAAGTGTTTTGGACATCGTTTTCTAATAAGGAAGCTAAGTGACGTTCAAATCTTTATTGAGTTTTAGTTACCCGTGTCTTAAATTCGCTCTTGTACGTCACTAATTGTTTACACTTGCCTTCACCATGAAATGTAAATCATCAATACACTTTTGTTCGCATTTCTGGATTCTTATGTTGATCTGTTAGAATTTTGCCACTGACTTATCGCATTCTTTTCTTCACTTCTTTTCAGCAGCAACGACAACGGGACTACTTTCTAAACATAAACTTATTAACGACTGGACATAACAATTCACTTAGAGTTGCTGGGATTGGGTAAACAAAGGTTAACCTCACCTGAGGTTTTTATTTATGTGCTATGGATTTGAAAACTCATGAAATTCATTCAGGTCATTTTATGGTTAGCATTCTTGAAGATTCTGAGGATGAGACAGAACATTCGAATAATATATTCACTGAAAACGTCACTACATACAGTTCCAAAGATAGCAGTAATCAGTCAACTGTTAAGGATAAAAACAGGCTGATTTTTGAGAACCTAGCTTCTCTTTTCAAGTATTTGGAGATCGCTTATAGTGGAAAGCTGACGAGCCCGAAATGGGACAAATTTCGTGGACTAAGATTTGCAATAAAAAATAAAATCCGACTCAACAACATAGTTTGGAGAGAATACCACATGCAATGTTAGTTCCTGTTTATTTACTTACTTTTAGATGTCAAAAAATTAAAGCCAGTTGTTGTTCAATTCCAGACACCTGTATATGAAGATCATTCTAAAACTGAAGTAATTTTATAAAATTCCTAATATATTTTTTAAAGGCAGTTATATTAGAAGGAAAATATTGGAAAAGGCGCGTAAGTACCTTGTGTAAAGAGTATCGCCTTTGGAGAGCATTTGCCAAAAACAGGATATACAGTTCTCAAAACAGACAAATTATACAATGTGCCAATGAACTACTCGAAGGGTCGGATCTATGTCCTTATCAATTTAGTGACCTATCAAAGAATACGTCTTCAAAACTTATGGAGGAAATAATGATGGACATAGATGAGAATCTAGATTTGTTTTTTGATCAACCGATAACATTTCCAAATCGACGAGATTTACCTATCTTGGGAAACGCCGATATAATGCAACCAGGTTTGCAACAACTTCAACCTGATAGAAGTTCATGTGACGACATATCGTGTAATATTTTTCAGTCTATTGACCCCAATTCGACATTTCAATGTAGTTCTTCTGATGCACATTCGTGTGAATATGCATGGCCTAGCTCGTACTACCCATTTAACAAATATATATGTGAAGCAACGTTCTCAAACACAACTACACCTCTTCCAGAGGCCAAACAAAGTTGTAACCTACCTCTTGTTGAACGTCTTAGCGTAGTCGATTCGTCTTCCCAAATCTGCTCATCATTTTTGTCAGGTAATCGTAAATCTGGTCTTTTGGATTTGGCTACCACCAGTAGTGAAGGGTGTGGACCTTATTTAAATAACAGTGTTAGTGAAACAGATTACCATGGTCCCCATCCTTATCGACCATCGTTTCCTGTGTCTCAAAAGCGCTACTTCCAACATCAATCCAGAGTTGCTGGTCAGCACCAAAGCAGCAACCATTCTGTTAGCATGGAATCAAATTATGGATTAACTACAGGTTCAATACACACAAAAGGTCACGTAGCTGAACCCATAAAATCGTTTGGTTATCGTGTAGAATCGAATAAAGAAAAAGGCAATCATACAAACAAATCTGTTCTTTTAAATGCCTTACTGCGTGGTAGTAGCATTGGTCAAAGTTTGAACTCGCCCAGTGATTGCATGGACACTAGTGCATTTCAGGAAACTTCTAAGTGTTCGTCTCCCTCACTTTGTAATGCTCTAAGCAATTCAGGAAACTGCTTTGATAGTTCATCCAACAAACATCTAATCCACCTCAACGATTCATCAAATAAGTCAGTTCAGGTCGAAAAAGGCCCCAATCTTCTTACAAATACAAAAGGGTTACCAGATTCTTACGCTCATCCTAGTTATTCATACAATGATCATTCATCCATTAATTCAATAAATACAGTACAGAATGTTGACATCCCCAGGATTAATTCATTGAATGTTGCGGATGTAAGTTATTTTAGTTTTTATCAGTTTCTTTAAAAGCTAGTTTTTTTCAGTATGGGTAATTTTGGTTATAGTTGTTGTTTGTTTTGTTGTTCACTACGTGATAATTAGTTAACCGAAGAATCGTAAAATGGTTTTGTACCATCGCATATCAGCTAAGCAAGATTTTAAATTTTTAAACCTTGAAGTCTATGATGGGTGTGTATTTAGTTCTTAGATCTGAGGTGAACTTTGAGTTATGTTGTTAGGAGTCCGAAATGTTACAGGACCTAACATATTGATTTTCAATTGTTATGCATGTATCTTGTGGACATCTCTGACGTTTAACAAACGGCGAGTGCACTATACACTCAGGAACATTATAGTTGGTTTTTTCTGAGTTTAATACAATTCTTTAGCATGTTCAAGGTTTTGAATAAGTCATTAATAATTACCTCATAAACAGTGCCGATTGGTTAAAGTGTATACCGGTTCAAGTTTTCACACTTAGAAAAAGAGATTAAAGGATCAGAACAAGAGTTGGAATAGAAATGTCAGTGCTAGTAGAAAGCTAAACATATGGGACATAGTTCAAAGTAAGAAATGAAACTGAGGAAATTAAGCTTATTGAATAGCAGTGAAACTTAAGCTTTAGACAAAGATTAACAGTGAATGCATCCATGCTACTAAAACCAATCTCGAGTAGTGCAGTCTACTTTCAACAGTACGTCAATATAATTTCATGGACCTCAATCGGTAGTTATTCACCTTTTCTACTACTCAAAAACAACAGTTGATTCCATGGGTAGTCAGAGTTTCTTGACTCGAAAGCAATAGTTTCTAGCTAACTTTCTAGTCATTGCTTACTATAGGATGATATCCTTATTGGCTTGTAGATTAGACTGTTGGGCCAAAGGCTTCAGGAGTGGCCCCTTAGGAAAACCACTTGTTTCAGTTTTGGCGCCCAAAAATAACCCGTCTCAACTACAAACTTATTTTGTATGGTACATAATATTTTTGGTTATCAGGTTTTCTGAGGACAGGACCAAATAAATATATTGGTAATCTTAGATTACTGTCTTTGAGTGCATATGGATTGTGTCAGTCTAAGTTGCCCTACTTCGCCTTAACGCCACTTAAAAGAATTAACAAAATGAAAGATAAAGACATAAAATTAGAAGTAACACTAACAGTGGTTAAAAATATAGGCAACGAGAAATAAGTAAGTAAAACTGCAACCCGAAGATTTTCGAGTAATGCTGTCTGGAAATTCTATAAGGAAAAAGAACTAATGCATCTAGACCTTTCATAGCTGATTTTGATTCGTATACTTCATGTCTCTAGTCACCGGATGTAGTAACCTCACTCTAGACTGGAAGTTCCCACTCTCGTACATAGTTGTTGTGAATTGGATTTGGGTTCGGTTTTATAAATTAAAAGCGATTTAAAAATTCTAATACGGAGGGGGGGATAGACTGGAAGGCTAATACACTACAATACACAACGACAATCCCCTGTGCAATATATGGTGATGTTTTGTAAGGAAGATTAGTGGAGACCCCAGAAGAATTTAATTACATTCAGGTTTATTCACTTGTATATCGACTTAATGATCATTAATTACAAATAGTTATTAAACTGAGTAGTCTTCTCTGAAAGCGATTTTGCAGTTAATTAATCAATTTAATCGGGATTCATTGAAAATAAGGAAAACTGGTTTCATACAAGCAAAAACGCATTGAAAGTCAACGAAAAGAGTTCACTTTAACGTAGTGTGTGACTTGATCTCTTTCTAAATGTAGTATTTTGGGATTCAACATCCTCAACAATAGCTTAAACCGAAAGTCACTAGACAAACATCATGCATCAGACTGAGAACTACCATTCTTTTTTAAACTTACTCCTACGCTAACCAGCATAGCATACCGTAAATAGTGACTGGAGAAGGTGTTATAACTTGTGGCCTTGTGCCCTATTAATATATGGCGTAATGATACCACCAGTTAGAGAACAGTGATTTATCGACAGAACCAATGACTCACAAACCCGTATGAGCAGTCTAGAGTCTTTATCAGTTCTTCTTCCTGCCTAGCCCTACCTGCTAAGTCAACAACACCAAAATCAGCCTCTGAGATATGAATCATGTATATCAAACATACTAGATTTATATTACAAACCAAACAGACTACATCGTACCATAAAATAGAAAAAAACATTTGTACAAGATCTAGCCAAAAGTGACTGTGGATGTGGGAGATTGTAATTAATAGACTGGGCATAACTCAAGAGTGGTAAATCGTATAATAATAGTCTGAGTCAAAATAAAGCTTATAATGAGAGGAACATGAATATGTATAGTTTAGGTACTTAATAATTACACAATTAAAATATATGTATCGTAATTATTCGTAAATAGTTCTCAAGAGTTACCATTCATAATTCTCATCGGGATACAACAGGAGGGAGTACACAAAATTTCCAACTATTTTAGCCAATAAATGTCTACAACTTCATCAACTGGTTTACCACATTTATTGTTCTGTGCTTAAGATGTGCGTTACTCGCTTAGTGATGCCATCATCTACGAGCAATACTTCACCCCAGTAATGAAATAGTATCAATCCGTGTATTTCCTCAATGGATGACGGAGGGCCCACCAAGGAGAGTTGGAAAACACTGATTCCAAACCAATGGTGCACATATGTTACGGGATCGCTAGGGAATAAATGGTGTATAAACCTATAGCTGGTCACCGACTATCATGATGCTGCATCCCATAATGTTGCTCCACTGCCTTGTGGATTAGACCTCTAGGTCAAAGGCTAGGGGAGTGGCCCCCTAAGAAAACCACCTGTTTCGGTTTAGGTGCTCGAGGAGTATCACAGCCTACACACAAATCGAATCATGACTACTTTATGTGACGCATATTTTGGTGTTCTTTTAAACCAATGTTTATGTATTTGAACAGATAAATACATAAAATCAACCTTGAAATAATGTTTCATAGCCGTAAATATTGAACCGGCTTTCAGTATATTTACCCTCTATCAGACAAACAAACACCTCAGTGACATTGCTCGTGAAGCATGTCAATGAAAACCGCGAGAGATTTCACTCACCAATCTACCATGGTCGACAAGAATTTCAAGATGATGTGTACAGAACAATGTCTTTAAGATAATTAATGGCAGTACATTATTTTGATGATGTAGTATTGTACTATCTAATCAGGTTCTGTTTCAACTATCTAGCAAACCATTCGTTTAGGTAAAACAGTAATTATTTCATTTAACTAAATACAGTAGGTGCCTAAATAATTTTATTTTTCATTAAATTTTTTTGAAATGTGATTCTATGCATCAACCAAGTATGGTTTTTGATGTTTTTGACCAAATGACTCAATAGTTTATCGATTTATTTGTCATAGGACTTTTTTTACTGCATTCTTGTTTTAGAATATATCAGCTCCAGTGGCTAACTATGGGGTGTCTGGTGACTGTTCCATAACTCAGAACCATGAGCCTGATCTGTCTGTTTTGACACAAACTGTATCTCGAGCAGATGGTTCATCTTTTCTAATCTCTCATAATCTTTTGGTAAAAAATTGCAGGACGGAATCTATTGGCTTCGGTGTTACTGACCTTTTAATGCGAGGTTCCAATAATTACTTTAATAAAACTGAATTGATTTCTCAACAAAGCTCAGTCGATTCACATAACTCTCTTGGTCTACCGCTAGAACGAAAAAATTCAAACGTACAAACTTTGGATCCAAACGGTTCTGCCGTACAAAGTACACAGGGAAACCCAAATTATTTGGTCGATGTCAGCGCTGTTCCTTCTCAGAATTCACAAGACTCCATCCTTATTTTTAAAGGAAATAACGGGCTTTCTACATCAATCCATGGAAGTCTTTCTGTTTCATCAAATACAGGTTTTAATTTCTCTAGTCGTAATTCTGGTCCGTGCACAATCCCTAGTAATTCACTTTCAGAATCGAATATGTTTGCTCTACCAAGTAATGAACTTAGAAATGCATACACAGAAGATTCTAATTCTGAGCTGGAAACTTTGGTACCTGGAAGTTGGACTGAACCACAGATTTTTCCACATGCAATCAATATTTCACTAAATGATATGGAACAACTTCCTAAAGCATCAGTCACAAGTGATAAATGTTTAAACGGTAGGTCTATGGATAAAAATATTCATTTGACCAAGTTAGAATTCACTTCTGTGCAGTGAAACAAAGCTCATTTCTTGGGACAAATAAATTAAGAAAATCTGCTTGAGATTACTTTTGCCTTTATTCTCATATGTAACTGTTCGGTCTAACCGAAAACGTATAATTTTTATAGGTTAATATATTGGAAATAGTTAATGACAATACTTTGGTGCAACTTACTATGTCATCACTAAACCAATGGTTCTGACTGTCACAGTTAATAGTTTTATAGATGATACCTATGAATATTACATAATACTGGCCAGTAATCATGATCTATGAGCTGCAAACTTGAGTCGATTATTCATTTATTATATTCACTAGGTAGATAGATATCTTTAATAACACAGTTGAATATCGACTGTGATTTCAGTAAGTGTGCCAATATTTTACTAGTGTTCTTTTTCTTAAATTCATCAATTGCCCATACAGTTCATTATTCATTGCATGTAATCTTTTCATTATATTTTTACTATTTTTATAATTTTTAAGGCAAGAGATTCGTTAGATATTTTGAGTATTTCTACCATTAAATCTAAGATTTTATGTATTACACACAACTGGGTTTGTGACACTTTTGTTCACTTATCAACTTCGAACATTCTTTCTACGACTTACTGTACACTGAAGGTAGAATATTTGCATACTACAAAAAGTTTGAGCAAGATAGTACTCAGAAATCGAGCACTGGAATACTTGTTTAATTTGTCTTTCTTCTAAATATAAGGTTCAATACTGCGTCCATTCCTAAAACTTTTTTATATTGATAATTGACAATCTAGTTGTTTTTCAAAGAAATGAATTTATGGCTTATTTATTTTACTTAAACAAACATTGGTTGTGAAGAGATGGAGAAAAAGTGAGTATAATAAATAACCGCTGCATTACTAACATGATGTTGCCACTGAATGTCAGCAATCCTTCGGAGACAGGGATAATCAAACACAGAGAGTCGTCTAACATCCTCAACTCAGAGAGGTTAGGTTTCACAAACAGAGCAAAGCTGCTTTCACCGACTTATTATAGATCCGACCTTTTGTAGCCAGACTAACATCAATAAGGCGCTAAAGATGGCCCAGACTGGCACGTATTGATTTCACCACTCACCAATATCAATACATACGCAGCTACCTAGATACACAAACTCCTCGACTACTTCTAACTGTTCACTACCAAGAATGAGTGCAAGTACGGGGTTCTGCCAGTTTTGTAAAAGCACTTTGCACTGAGGAGACGCAAAGCACATACCATACCTACGGACACTGATTGCCAACTGATTAGGTGTGGATTGGTTGGCTCGAGTATCATCACACAGTAAGACAATATCATCTGAAGAGTTTCTCCAGGCAACAGATCTACACCACCATTACCTCCATCCATAAGAGCTGTTTCCAGCACATCATTGATGGCAACATCGAAGAGAAACGGTGAAATTGGGAAACTCTGCCTAACCCTTCTGCTTGAATGAAACAATGGCGAGAGATGGTTGTATCTCTTCACTCTACCTGAAGTGCTTGTATATAGGGCTTTCAAGATGTTAATAAACTTCCCAGGCAAACCCTTCTTCAATAGAGTCTCAGAGAACAGTCCTGTCCAACGGATCGAATGCAACCCTGATGTCCCGAAACGCTATTGTTGGTCTATGATAATTGTGACGGTGTTCTAACGTTTGGTGGAGGGTGAAAATATAGTCACTACATTCTCAACCACAGCGAAAACCAGCTTTCTTCTCGTGAGTCAATCTTTCTCGGGTTTTGAACAATCTACGAAGTATGTGGCATGATCCTTTTTTAAAGATAGAGACAACTATCGTCTTAATCGACGATGTTAGAACACCCTCTAATTCTATCCGTTTGTTAAAAACTCAGTCAGTTCCTTAGCCAGTAGGTCGCCACTATATTTAAAAAGGGCCGAAGGTAAGTCATCTGGGCCTAGTGATTTGTAGCGCTTCAAGAGTTGGAGTTCCTTGCAGACTTACGCCATGTTGGATGGGTCAGCTGTTACCGGCCATGGAGAAAACGACAGTCTGATCAGATGACCTGTTCCTCGTAAAAGCATACCCATCGTCCAAGACGACGGTAGATGTTGTTGATTGGCATCCCATCAGCTTCACAGATTGTTTCACTAACACCAGAATCCTTGCTTCCAGTGTCTTGGATGGGTTGAAAGAGATTTCGGCAGTTACCAGATGTAGCTGCTACTTTCAACTTGTTAGCACGCTGCGATTACCAGGTTTCCTGGTCCTCACGCGAATTTCGCATAATTTCATTGCGTAACAATCTTTATTAATGGCCAAACTCGTGGTTATTCGGAGTAGACTGATGTGCTTCAACCAGTTGTAAGAAGCCTGTAGAAACCCAGTGCTTATAAGCGGAACGTTTCGCCAAGCTGCAAGCGATTTTACTCTCCATTTTCATGGCATTCTTCAATTCTGGTCAATCGTTACTTATACTTTTCGATGGGTTGATATTTAGCTTTGAACCTAGCTCGGCTTAATATTCAGTCACAGCAGAAGCTGCATCCAATTTTCTGACGTTTTCTATTTAGTGTTTGTTTTTAAGGCATTCAAATGTATTCTGCTTTTTTATATCTTCAATTGATTTAAATATCTTACACTTAAATAATTTAAGCAACTCATACAAAATTCGATTTTATTTTGCTGAATAGCAAAGCTTTTAATTATTTGTCCCATTTTGGATTCATATACAACAACTAATATGGCGTTATTATCATTTTTCTAGTATCTAAGATTATCGAAAGTAATCCATCAATGCTTGGACGTTCCAGTTCAGCTGGGAATTTATTCTCACTTCAACATAATCAAATTCCTAGTTGTTCGATACAGGGTTCAGCAACTACTACATCGAGTTTTGGAAGTACAGAAATTTTATCTCCAATGCTTTCTAACCATAAAGGATTTCTGTATGCTACTTCACCATCGTGTTCTCCACCTTCGGTTTCAGAACAAAATGATCAACAAGCTAAACATATTCTAGGTAATTCCTCTGAAGAACGACGACGTCAATCTATGCAATCTGGTTTACAAACTCTACGACAACTGTTAAAATTACACTCCAATTTAGATAATCTTGGTGGTAGTAACCGTCTGACAGCTCGCAGACATCTTAGCAATCTAGAAATGCCTTCCATATCTGGGACTTATTCATTTGGGGATACAGATATGCCTAGTGAAATGCTTAGCGTTGGATTACGTCCATCAAATGGGTTAGATTTTACATCTGATGAACAAATGATGTCTTCAGGAACCGAAGTTGGTGGTACTGCTCGAGCATCTAAAGCTGCAACATTAAGAAGTGCTGCAGAACTAATACGAAAATTAAGAGATGAACGAAATGTATTAGAAACACAATGTACAAATCTTAAGGGCGAAGTAAAAGCTTTGAAAAGTGCAATTAAGTAAGTGTATTTTCAGTCAAATTTATGCACATAATTTTGAATTTGACTTCACAACATATTACACTGTTCGCATGCATTTCGGTCTCAACATCCTCATTGTATGTTCAAGCTTGCCTCGTTACTTACTTTAACCCTGGAACTCTAGTTTATCCATATATTAGGAGTTGTTACGTTTAAACTAATTTGTAGCCCAAACTAGTGATCAACCCAACTTTGCTTACATTCATATTGATTTACATTTTCTTCTCACTACAGTCAGTCAGTAACAACGTAGAACTTCGTACGTACGTTCATCAGTTCGAGTTGCCACACCACATTAGCTCAGAGATGCAATGGTCGATTCAAATCCCGTAGTGGTAGAGGTAATAAGAGTATAAGCAGTAATCAGGAAAATTAGTGTTTGGAGATGTTATTTAAAGAGTATAATACAGTGAGATAAATTTGGGAAGAGAAAAAAAAGAGACAAGGAGGGATAAGGAGATCAAAATTTGGGAGAACACAAAGAGTGTATGCACCTGCGCCATTGCAAACGATTTTGAGCCATGTCATTCAGGGTCTCTAACCATCGGTTGCTATCATCTCGCGGTCCCCAACCAGGTAGTCTACACCTACCAACATGACTCAGTCCACTTGTCAGTGACTTCATGGACTTGTGCCATGTTTTGGTCTGGCCGCCCCTAGCTTTCTTCCAACCTACTCCTATACCACTGAACATAGCACGTCGAGGCAGTCGGTCGTTGGGCATACGTAACACATGTCCCAGCCATCTCAACTGATGAAGTTTCACTACGTCATCAATTGATTTGTCATCCTTACCTAGTACCCGTTTCCTAACAACTGCGTTATTTACTCGATAGTCCCAGGATATACGAGCAAATGCCCTGGTACGGCCGAAAGTGGGGAGAGTCCGCTCTCCCTCTCGAAATACTCTCACACGGCCGCACGTATATAGCCTCTGCCAAGGAAGTCCTACTCACTGCCTTCTCGTGGCGAGGGTGTTGTTTACGAAAATGAGAGGACGAAAAGCGAATGTCCGGCGCTTTAACTGGATCACAAACCAATGGTGCACATGGGCTCCAGTATCCTGCGGGAACAAATGGCGTATGAACCAATCGTTGGTCACCGGCTTCCATGGGACTGCATCTCCTTACGATGCTCCACTGCCTTGTGGGTTAGACCTTTAGGTCAAAGGCTCGGGGAGTGGCCCCCTAAGAAAACCACCTGCTTCGGTTTGGGTACCCTGGCAGTATCACAGCCCACACACATGCCGAATGAGATTTGTGTGGCGCATATGTATTTGGTGCCTCCTTGTACCAATATCTATGTGTTAAAATAAAATAAAATATGATCAAATACTAGTAACCTACGAATATCCTCTACTCTTACCGGCCATGTTTCACTGCCATAAAGTAGGACGGAACGAACTGCTGCGCAGTAAACCCGTCCTTTGGTTGATAGACGGATATCTCGCCTACGCCATAAATGACGCAAGTTGGTAAAAGCTAGTCGAGCCTTCTGTATCCGTGCTGAGATTTCGTCACACACCAGACCACAAGGGCTGATGAGACTTCCGAGATAAGTGAAGCGATCGACACACTCAATTACTTCAGTCCCTATCATCAGTTCGGGTGTCGATGCAGCCCAATCCTGAAGCGACATTTTACATTTTAAGGGGGAGAATCGCATGCCGAACATGCTTGCATTGTTGCTTAGAGTGGTCATAATACTCCGCATTTTGTCAGCGTCTTCACCAAATAAAACTATGTCATCAGCATATTCTAAGTCAACAAGTGAACCTCCCGGTAGAAGTTCAACACCTTGAAATTTAGATGAGGAAAGTGTTATCTCTAAAAGTACGTCGACGACAAAGTTGAATGGAGAGAGTGAACAGCCCTGACGAACACCACTTGAGGTAATCAATTCTGATGACAGTTCGCCATAAGCTCTCACTCTACCAGTTGTGTTCGAGTAGAGAGCCTTTACAAGGTTAATGTACTTCTTTGGTACTCCTTTCAGTGACAAACACTGCCATAGAACCTTACGATCGACAGAGTCGAATGCTGCTTTAAGGTCGAGAAATACTACGATTGTGGGGCGTCTGAACATGTGTCTGTGTTCTAGAACCTGACGTAGTGTGAATATGTGGTCTATAGAACCACGTCCAGGTCGAAAACCAGCCTGATTTTCTCTAGTCTGTTCTTCACGAGCTTTGATTAGGCGTCGAAGTATTATTGAAGCTAATATTTTAGATACTATATTTGTCAAACTGATTCCTCTGTGATTGTCACAAGAGGACTTTTGTCCTTTCTTATAGACTGGCACAATCAGTGATTGAGATCAGTTAGATGGGATTACGTCCAGTTCCCAAATTCTACCTAAGACCTCGGTTAATTTCATTGCTAATACTGGACCACCATCCTTAAAAATCTCAGGAGTAAACCTGTCAGGGCCTGCTGCTCTCCCTCGTTTCAGATTTCCTATGGCTTTTTCAACTTCGTAAAGGGGCGGAGGACCCACATTAACTTGCCATTCAGGTTGACTGGAGATCGTGGGAAACCGAAGTGTGGCTGAAAGCCAGTTGAACTGATCCCTAAAGTGTTCTGAATCTAAGCATGTGCTCCAGAATGAGCGACAGTCTTCTATCGAGCCCCTCCATCGGTGGCTGATAGCGATGTGATCTATTTGGGTTCAACGTTGGGACGAGTTAGGGGGTCGCCATGTTAAAAGATGTTTTTCCTTATGCTTAAAGTTAGTATTTGCAAGGAACAGGCGGTTATCTGAGCATAGCTGCAACAGACGGTCGCCATTATCTGTTTTTTGAGTCACGATGCTATAAGATCCACCCAGGTGTCTTACCCTATCGCTTAGTTTACCTACTTGAGCATTAAAGTCACCGGCCATTATTACTACATCTGAGTGCCTAGCTTTTCGGAGAAGGTTGGAGAACTTTCTGTAAATCTGATCTTTTACATCATCTGTGCTGCAGTCAGTGGGAGAATAGGCAGAAACGACGAAGAGGCAACGACAAGGGTCCCTATCTTTTCGGATCGTTACTGTTCCGTTTAGTCGGACAGCGCACAAACGACTGTCTACTGGGATCCACTCTAAGAGAGCTAGTTCTGCCCTAGGACTCAATGCTATACCTACGCCGGCGAGGCCACGGGAAGCAGAATCAGGGCTTCCAGATACACGAAGTGTGAATCGAGTCGGTTCTTTATTTTGGCATAGTGAGGTCAAGTGAATGATGCTACTCGGATCCTGTATGCGCATTTCAGAGACGCAGCACACATCGATGGCGCGAGATCCTAAAGTCCTAGCTAAGGAAGCCTGCTGTCGTATTTAGCACAGTGTTCGGACGTTAAAAGCTCCTACGTGTAGTTTAGAGCGTGGTTTCAGGAGACCAGAAATAGCGTTCCGCGTACTCGAATCGTTTGCCCTAGCGGTGCGAGGTGAAGAAAGGACGTGAGAAGGGTTAGTCGGGGAGATAAGAGTGGTATAAGGAGATGTAGGAAGGATTTGAATGTGACCAACTTAGTCTCGTGTGCTGTTACGGGTATGAGGGCTGATGTCACTTCCCGGCTGCCCACACCGTGGAAGGGTATTTCTTGAGGAACCTGAAAAGGAAATTGGATTAGTGTTGGTCTTAACGACCTGGGAGCGTGACCGCAGAGCCCAAGGGACAACTGCTTGAGTCCGGTCGCACACGGCCTTTTCGTGGAAGCTTTCGTGTTAGCTCCGTTCTTCAAAGGGCCCTACCGCCGGAGACAGAAATCCGTGAGGTAAGGTGAGGTGTGACATTTTTAGGGTCGACCTTTTCTAACCCCACCCCTCTTTGTGGGAAGGCAGCATCGCTGCAGATGCTGGTTGTCTGAGGGAAACACCTTATTGCTGCCACACCTCTCTACAATCAGCAGTACGACTTCGCCCTCAAACCTTGAGTTTCTGCTTTTAGTCTTACCGTTCTCCAATCGACCTGCCTGGCATGGTAGAACCTACAGGAACATATGCTCCAGCCAATATAGCTCGGTTGGGTTATCACGATAGGCATGCCCGACCACCGCGTCAAGGTAGCAGCTTCGGTCGGGTTGATATTGTTGATATTGTAATTGCTGACCAATCCAAAATAACACAAATATTATTTGTCCATTTATCTGTAAGTTGTGTAGTGCTAATAGGTCCTAACTGTTTGATAATGTTTTGTTTTTGTTTCCTGTTGTGAGTTAATTTCCAGTTTACTAGCCACAAATACATACACACGTCCAGTAAAGGATGTTAAATACGTAGGAAACGGTTAAACTATATATATATTCCTCAGTCATGAAACCTCAGGATAACGAACTCAGATAGAATTAAGATCAAATCAGTATAATTGTGGGTGATGACAATCTTTTTGTACAATTTTAATCGTCATCTGGTAATATTCGTCTACAGGGGAATGCATTTCACAACTGTTTTTCGTGTTCACATATCATTGGAGTTCCCTAAATGTTAAATGTTGTAGCAAGTTTATCTCCCCACTAAATCACATGTTATTTATCTGAAACCTCCTTGAAATCTGATATTCTAGTCAGGAATTAACCCTAACGTTCAAGTCTTAACTGATTAGAGAGTGACCTACAAGACTGATTCAATCCAATCGTGTTCTGTCAATAACAAGTTTGCTATAAGTATGCACTTCTCTCCGATAAAAAACCCATTCTTATGTCCGTATTGGTTTTGTCTTTGATCTCAATTCACTTAGGGTTCTGAGTCAATAAATTCACTCTCGTGAGTAATCGTCACTTGATCATTTAGTGTCATTGCTTTCGTATATTCGTCAGTATTCTGTCCATTCATTTTAATAATTGCAAACTTGATATAACAGGTTATTTCAAGTATTTTTCCTCTCTACGGTATAACTACGCTAATACAATAATGTGATAATAAGACTGGTCTGGGTAGTTGAGTTTGTAATACCGGTAAATTTGACACTGGAACTGTACACAATATGGAGAATAGATCACATTATATCAGATATATGATTCATGGTTAATAATAAAGAAACATAATAACGCTAGATAATACTTTATTCCATACGATTACTAGCAGTTACTTTCAGTCAGTCCTGAGTAGAAATTAATAAGGTAAAAGGAGTTCATATATTTAATAGTTAGTAAGTTGAGTGCCTGTTTATTCAAACTACGTGACCAATTAAATTTACTTTCACTGCTACACATCAAAACCCTATTCACCAACCATAATAATGTTGATTTATGTATTAGCTTGTGCTTTTTCTACAGAGTTGGCATTATTTAAAACATTTTTTATACTGATATAAATGTTTTGGTGTTTTGAGAGTATTAATCACTAAAGGTTCCTGCCAAATAGATTAATTTAGACATTATTGTCTAGATCAGTTTAGTTTTAATTTTTGGCTATGAATGCCCTGGTACGGCCGAGAGTGGGGAGAGTCCGCTCTCCCTCTCGAAATACTCTCACACGGCCGCACGTATATAGCCTCTGCCAGGGAAGTCCTACTCACTGCCTTCTCGTGGCGAGGGTGTTGTTTACGAAAATGAGAGGACGAAAAGCGAATGTCCGGCGCTTTAACTGGATCACAAACCAATGGTGCACATGGGCTCCAGTATCCTGCGGGAACAAATGGCGTATGAACCAATCGTTGGTCACCGGCTTCCATGGGACTGCATCTCCTTACGATGCTCCACTGCCTTGTGGGTTAGACCTTTAGGTCAAAGGCTCGGGGAGTGGCCCCCTAAGAAAACCACCTGCTTCGGTTTGGGTACCCTGGCAGTATCACAGCCCACACACAAATGATGAACTCTTTATGCCTATGGAAATTACCTTTCTCGCTTCGAAAGACAGTCAATTGGATCAAATTATTATCATTTCAACTATTGTCATTATTAATACTATTATGTTTATTATTATTATTATTATTATTATTATTATTATTATTATTATTATTATTATTATTATTTTCCACATTATTCACCCTCCTTTATACTTATACATCGGCTCGTCTTTGGTGGAAATTCGACTGTATCTAAACGTTCTCGAGTCACTATCCGGTTGAAAATTGTATGTTACCACCGAATATGAGTACTGAAGCAGTTTTTCTGAAACCACGTGCGCCATTCAAACTGGCTGCCTTCAACGTTCGCACATTTATGCAGGTTGGACAACAGATAGGGCTGGCTATGTCTTTGGAAAGTCTTCATATCGATGTCTGCTGTCTATCCGAGACCCGTATTCAAGACTCTGGTGAAGTACTACAAATTCGCTCTACATCTGTCACTTCAAAAAGCTTGTTTTACGTGCGCTTATCCGGGGACCTTGTGGCATCTTCATCTGGTCTTGCTGGCGTTGGTGTCGCACTAAGCGCTAGAGCTGAGGCAGCACTAGTCGATTGGATCCCCATTAACAGTCGGTTATGTGCTGTTAGATTAGAAAGTTCCATCAAAGTGAGAAGAAATCGGCGTGAGAAACGATGTCTTTTCGTCATCTCCGCCTATGCCCCGACAGATTGCAGCCCGGATGCAATCAAGGATGAGTTTTATCACCAGTTATCTGTTCTTCTTCAGAAAGTGCGTTCGACAGATATTGTAGTACTAGCCTGAGACTTGAATGCTCAGGTCGGGCGTCTAGGCACAGAAGAGAGTCGTTTAGGTGGCCGATGGGGACTTGTTAATCGCAGGACAGATAACGGGGACCGTCTACTGCAACTATGCACAGACTATGTACAGACCACAACCTGTTTCTGGCTAGCACTAACTTTCGGCACAGTCATCGCCGATGTGCCACCTGGCGTCCTCCCTCTGCATCTCAAGCCTGGACTCAGATTGATCACATTGCGATCAGCTACCGCTGGCGTGGTTGTGTACAAGACTGCTGCTCCTTTTGGAGTACCTATCTGGACTCTGACCATGCCTTGGTCTGCGTCAATTATGCCTTACTTTTCAGTGGACAACGAAGTGACCGCCATCAACAGATTGATGTTAGCAAGGTGGTTGCAACTTCTGTTGCAAGTAAGTATCGAACCGAGCTAGCCTCTAGGCTAGCTACCACTCCACCGAAAAGTATAGATGAGGATTGGTTGCAATTGCGTGACGCCATGAAAATGGCGGGAACAGTCAGTTGTGAGTTCGCGAAACGTCCCACTTATAAGCACTGGGTTTCTACAGGTTCCTTACAACTCATTGAAGCCCGTCGGTCTACTCCGAGTGACCGTGAGTTTGACCATAAACGAAGGATGTTACGTAAGGAAATTGGGCAAAGCTTGCGTAAGGACCGAAAAGCCTGGCGGTCGATGCGTGCTAATGAGCTGGAAGCGGCAGCTGCATCTGGTAACTACCGGAAGCTCTTCCAACTCATCCGAGCCACTAGCAGCAAGAAGTCTGGTGTGAGTGAAACAATCTGCGAGGATGATGGGATGCCAATCACTAACATCCATCGACGTCTTGGACGATGGGCAGAATTTTTCGAAGGGCAGTTCAACTGGCCTGCTGCTCCGGCAACATCGGTCAGACAGTCCTGCCCTCCATGGCCGGTGACGACTGATCCACCAAACGAGGAGGAAGTCCTCAAGGAACTCCAACTCTTGAAGCGTTACAAGTCACCTGGCCCAGATGACTTACCTCCGGCTCTTTTTAAAGATGGTGGTGACTTTTTGACTAAGGAATTGACGACGTTGTTTACAAAGGTGTGGTTACTAGAGAGTGTACCAACGTCATGGAATGAGTCGATAGTTGTTCCTATCTTTAAAAAGGGTTCACGTCGTTCTTGTAACAACTATCGGGGGATAAGTCTACTTCTGATTGCGTCCAAGCTATTGGCTTCCGTCATACTTCTTAGGTTGTTCAAAACCCGAGAAAGATTGACTCGCGAGGAGCAGACTGGGTTTCGTTCCGGTCGAGGATGTATTGATCATATCTTCACCCTCCGTCAAATGTTAGAACACCGCCATACTTATCAAAGGCCAACAATCGTAGTGTTTCTTGACATCAGGGCTGCCTTCGATTCGTTGGACAGGACTGTTCTCTGGGATTGTCTATTGAAGAAGGGTGTGCCTGAGAAGTTTATTAACATCCTAAAAGCCCTATAAACAAACACCTCAGGCAGAGTGAGGGCATACAACCACCTCTCTCCATTGTTCCATTCGAGTAGTGGGGTTAGTCAGGGTTGCCCAATCTCACCATTCCTCTTCAACTTTGCCATCGATGACATTCTGGAAACAGCTCTGATGAATGTAAGTAATGGTTGTGTGGATCTGTTGCCTGGAGAAAGACTTCTCGACCTTGAGTATGCGGACGATATTGTTTACTGTGCGATAATGCCCAAGGCATGCAATCCGCACTTAAGCAGTTGGCAATCAGTGTCCGTAGGTATGGTATGTGCTTTGCACCTTCGAAGTGCAAAGTACTTCTACAAGACTGGCAGGATTCTAATGCTGTACTCACCCTGGATGGTGAGCAGATAGACGTAGTTGAGAAGTTCGTGTATCTGGGTAGCTGCATAAGTGCTGGTGGGGGTGTGAGTGATGAGATCAATGCACGAATAGTGAAAGCCAGAGCGGCTTATGCCAATCTGGGCCACCTTTGGCGCCTTCGTGATGTTAGTCTGGCTGTAAAAGGTCGAATCTACAACGCGTCGGTGAGAGCAGTTTTGCTCTATGCTTATGAAACCTGGCCTCTCCGAGTTGAGGACGTTAGACTCAGTAATATCTTTTTTTAGTTACCCATCTATGATGGAGATTTTCAGGTTCTGATCTTTAATAAGAGTTCTATACATCATGTTAGATGGTTATGACCTTGTCACTTGTATTTGTTGATCAAGATTTGACTCACTATATTGCAACTAATAGTTTAGTTACTTCGGTGTCTGGTATACCATCAGATCTACATATTAAAAAACATTTACACACTTAAACAAAGTCAGTTATCTAGTTCTTTATGGTAGTAACTTTTACCTTACTGTATTTAATTGTGACGAGAATTATTTACTCAAATATTTGTTCAATAACACTTCAATTTCCTTCATTTATTATTTTTTGTTGCTATTAGCCTTTTTTGTGAAAAATTGCCCCCCTCCAATTCATCATCTACAAGGTCAATATCAGATCAAAATTTAAATTCTTACTATTCTGAATGGTTTCGTGCATATGTGCTCCAACAAACTGAAGTTAATTGGAAATTTTATATATTTAGTTTAATAATCGGTAGAATTTTCAAGTCTTATTGCAATACAACAATTTCAAGTTCACGTGATCAATTTATCCGATCCGTATATGGTTGGTTAGATGCTAATTGTTCCCTGGTACAACTAAGACCTGGTATGTTCGACTACATAGTACTTGTTAAATCTTTTGTTTTTCAACTTTTCCGCTAAGTTTTTGTTTCTCTATGACTTTTTTTCTTAGAAAAATATTAAAACTTTTGAATGTTAATTTCTAGTCCGACTATATCTTTGTTGTTTAACGGTTAAAGAGTATTTACTTTTAAGATTCTTGACAACTATTGAAACAATAATTGTTAAAAGAGGAGTGAAAATTTAAGTGTAGTTAATCTTTACGTCCATCATTGCATAGACTGTTACGTATAACTTTTAATGTTTAATTTAAACGTTTTCTCCTATAACAGCACACTTACTGGCATGAGTATTTGAATCACTGAAGCGTTATCAGAGAACATCTTGATGCTGCTGGTAAGTAAGTACTAGCAGTCACCATATCGAAATTCAAATCATCTTGACAATCCTCTTTTTCCAATCATATCCAACATGAAATATGTATTTGTTTAGCCAATTTTTCATTTCCTTAATAATTATATATTTTTTATTACTGCAATATACAAGTTAATTCTATAAAGTCAATTAAATGTGTATCGAATTTTTACCGTAATTGATTATTATTATTCTTTTGTGATAGGAAATAAACTTATTTAAGGGAAAAGTGTATGAAGGAATAGTTGTATTAGTTTTAAGCACATTAGAATAAATTGATGAATATAATAATTCTTAGTAGTAGTGAAGAACTAAAAGGAATAAACCGAACGAAGGTATGTAAAAATGTCAATACGTATTCCGAAATGCCCTGGTACGGCCGAGGATGGGGAGAGTCCGTTCTCCCTCTCGAAATGCTCTCACATGGCCACGCGTATACAGCCACTGCCAGGGAAGTTGTACTCACTGCCTTCTCGTGGACGGGGTGTTGTTTATGAAATCTAGAGGACGAAAAGCGAATGTCCGGCTCTTTAACCAGGTTGATAGGTACAGAGAGTTCACCTAGGAGTGTTGGAAAACTCTGATATCAGACCTATGGTGCACATATGTTACGGGATCGCTAGGGAATAAACGGTTTATAAACCTATAGTTGGTCACCGACTACCATGAGGCTGCATCTCATAACGTCGCTCCACTACTTTTTGGACTAGACCTCTAAGTTAGAGGATCGGGGAGTGGCTCCCTAAGAAAACCATCTGTTTCGGTTTGGGCACCCGACCAGTATTCTAACCCTCACACAAATCAAATGATGAACTGTGGCGTATATATATTTAATAACTCCTTGTACTAATGTTTATATCTTTCAATAAATAAATAAATAAATACAATACGTGGTAAAATTAACTTCGAATTGAGCACTTCTATAAAAGTCGTTTGATAAAATAACACTCACTGGTTAATGACCAGTTTCAGATTGGTCTCCAGAAATTTCAGTGAAAAGTTATGGGGTCTCCATGGAAAAACAATCAAGTCAAGAGTAAAGTACTTACCTATCTACCAGTGACATGGAATCATGACCACACTATCCAATAGGTTGACTGAAAATAAATATCGCTTATTTCCTATCTTATGTCAGAATAGTATCATGCCTACCATGAAGATTGGTGATTTTAAGTTCAACATGTTCATGCTCTACTGAAGAAGTATAAATAGGGATGAAATAGTAATCTAATATCATTATTAATAAGGATTCAAATTATTCTGTTGTTGATATCCGAGACAAAACTTTCATCAGTGTTTGTTGGCATATTTGCTTCCTGCATAGATATCTCGATATAGCTCTGGTGTATTCTGATTATGCTGACAGATATAAGTAGTATGTAACACCACTCGGAAGTCGAACTCTGGAAGCAGAGGATTGAAATGAAGAGAACAGAAAGGAAATCGTTTCTTTGGTATCTTGATGTCGTGTCCCTCTTTCCAGTCTTTCGGTGGCACTTGTTCTTCCTCCTAAATCTTCTTAAACAAATCGTGGAGCATGCTTGCAGCTGCTTCTATGTCTGACTCCAGTGCTTCAGTTGGTATATTGTCAAATCCTACTGTCTTCTCACTCTTGATTTGTCTGATGGCTATCCTGATTACTTCGATCGTCGTTGGACTGAAAGCTATAGGTATGTCTGTGTGTGCTGTTTCTATGTCCCTTGGGCTTAATGGGGCTGTTTTATTTAAGGGTTGCTCAAAGTGTTCTACCCATCTGTTCCTCTCCTTGAATCTCAGTAATTGACTTGTCTTCTTTGTTTTTGACTGATTGCTGTAGCTTACTGTTTTTCCCTACTAGGTTCTTCGTTGTGTCACAAAGTTGTCTCATATTTCCTTCTCTTTCAGCTTTTTCCACTGTCGTTGCTAGGTCTTCCACGTATTTCCGTTTGTTGACTCTAATTTTGCTTTTCACTCGTTTGTTCGCTTCAGTGTATTCAGTTTGTGACTTGACTTTCTCTGTTCTTGATCGACTGTTTTTAATCGCTATCATCTTGTTCTTCTTTTCTTGGGTCTTGTTCAGGATTTCGACAGAGATCCATTCCTTATTGTGATGCTTGTTGAGACCTAGAACCTCTTGACACTTTGAAGTTAGTGTTTCTTTGATCCCTTTCCACTTGCTCTCCATGGTAGTTTCCACTTTTTTGAGTAGATCTCGAAATGCTTGGAACCTGTTGTTTAGAGCTATGTTGAATTGGTCGAGTTTGTGAGTATCTCGAAGGAAGATTGTATTGACCCTTCGTAATGCTGTTTATTCAGTTGTCTAATGCTTCTTTAGCTTCAGTTTCATCTTGGCAACCACGAGGTGGTGATCCGAAGCTGTATCAGCTCCTCTCCTTGTTTTCACGACTTCCGTTGACCTTATGAATTATTTGGTGATGTAAATACGATCTATCTGGTTCCCCGTGGTGTGGTCAGGTGAGATCTATCTAGCTTTGTGTATGATTTTGTGGGGTAATATTGTGCAGCCTATAACCAATTTGTTGAATGCACATAAATCTGCAAATCTGTCACCATTCTCGTTCTTTTCTCCTAGTCAGTCCATGTCGTCCCATGACATCTTCATACTCGGTGTTGTCCATTCCACTTCAACGTTTGGATCTCCCATCAGTATAGTTAGGTCCTTTCCTGAGCACTTCGCTATGATCGATTGCTGCCTCTTGTAAAACTGGTCTTTGTCATCGTCGTTGCTATCATTGGTTGGTGCACAACATTGGATAAGATTCATTTTGATTCCCTCCTTCTTTGTTTTGAAAGATGCTTTGATGATCCTGAGTCCATGGGATTCTCATTTTGTAAGTACTCGTTGGAGTCCATTGAACAGCACCAGAGCAACTTCCTGAGTGTTTGAAACATTTTCTTCTTCGCGACTAGAGTACACCAGCATCTTTCCCGAATCTACCCTTTTCTGCCAGCTTGGGTTCAATGGGTTTCACCGATTCCGAGGACTGTCACTTGTATCTCTTCATTTCCGTTGCTATTTGACTAGTCCACCCGGTCTCGCGCATTGTCTGAACCTTCCATGTACCTATATTAATTGTTGCTCAGGTTGTTAGACGGGGCATCGGCCTCGAGACTTTCAAAGAATCTCGGCTTTCACCATGAGGCATTAAACTTCTTCTGAATGAAAATCCTTCGACTCGGAGGGCAGAGTTAAAATGGTTTGATTTATTTATTCTGGTTAGTGTTCTTTTAGCAAGTTTTTTTCTACGAGATGGTGTTGCTGACCCAATGCTTAGCTGTCCTCAGTTATTCAGGCTTGGGACCGGGAGTAGCCCTAAGCCACCTAATAATTTTAATATTCAATTGTTTCTTAGTTGATATTACTTACTTACTTACGCCTGTTACTCCTCGTGAAGGAGCATTGGCCGCTCACCTGCATTCTCCATCCAACCCTGTCCTAGGCAATCCTTTCCAGTTGTAATTCATCCTTTTCATATCTGCTTCTATTATCCGACGTAATGTGTTTTTTGGCCTTCCTCTTTTCCGCTTCCCTTCAGGATTCCAAGTTGGGAATTGCCTCATGATGCAGTTTGATGATTTGCGTAGTGTATGTCCTATCCATTTCCATCGTCTTTTCCTAATTTCCTCTTCAGCTGAAAGCTGGTTTGTTCTCTCCCACAGCAGGCTGTTTCTGATGGTATCCGGCCAATGGATGTTGAGTATCCTGCGTAGACAGCTATTTATAAATACTTGTACCTTCTTGATGGTGGTTGTTGTAGTTCTCCAAGTTTCAACTCTGTACAGTAGAATTGCCTTGACGTTCGTATTCAAGATTCTGACTTTGATATTGGTTGAAAATTGTTTTGAGTTCCATATGTTCTTCAATTGTAGGAACGCGGCCCTTGCTTTGCAAATCCTCGCCCTTACGTCTGCATCTGAACCTCTTTGTTCATCGATGATGCTTCCTAGGTATGTGAAGGATTCTACATTTTCCAGAGTTTCGCCATCAAGAGTGATTGTATTACTGTACTCCGCTTTGAATTTGAGGACCTTGGTTTTCATTTTGTGTATACTGAGGCCTACTGATGCAGAGACTGCTGCTACACTGGCTGTCTTTATCTGCATTTGTTCATGTGTATGCGATAGGAGGGCTAGGTCATCTGCGATGTCCGAATCGTCTAATTGATTCTGAGCTGTCCGTTGTATTCCGTGTTTTCCTTCAGATGTTGAGGTCTTCATAATCCAGTCGACCACCAGAAGAAAGAGGAAGGGAGAGAGTAGGCAGTCTTGTCTGACTCCTTTCTTGGAGTGCGTCTGTCAGCTGTCCTCCATGCATGACCTTGCACTGTAGTCCGTCGTATGAGTTCCGGATAATATTGACAATCTTCTCAGGAACTCCGTAGTGTCCAAGAAGTTTCCAAAATGTTCTCCTTTCTACACTGTCAAATACCTTTTCATAATCAATGAAGTTGATGTATAGTGACGAATTCCACTCAACTGATTGTTCGACGATGATCCGTAGTGTTGCAATTTGGTCTGTGCACGACCGATCCTTACGGAATCCAGTTTGTTGATCTCGAAGTTGGGCATTGTGACGACGGACCACCGGTGAACTCGAGAAGGCTCATAGGG